TACTCGACGGTCTTCTTCCTTCCTTCTCAACAATGAAGTGTCGATGTTAGAAGAGGGGGAAAAGGTAAAGTGTCCAACGATTAGGTGAGGGGCAAAATTGGGTTTTACAAAAGAGGGTTGTCCAGGTGGCTGAGTTTGGAACAAAACGACGTCGTCCTTCATCTCCACGTGGGCAACCGCATGTCACTTAACGTGACACATCAGCACCGTCACTCACACCGTCAATTTTGAATTGACAGAAGGACTAACGTGGGTTCTGCTTGACATTGTTGGGGACTATTTTTTGAGTTTATTTTTCTTAGGGACTAAATTGGCCACCGCATTTTTTGTCAGGGACCAATTTGGGTCTTTACTCTATAATAAAACATATCGATGACATATTGACATTAGAGATGCAGCGATTGATTTCTCAAAAAGAAAAAAAAAAGCGACGATTGGGAGAACACATCAGAAAAAACTGAATTGTAAGAGTGGATTTGAAATAAAGGGATAAGTTATTTTATCTTTTTTTTTTCATGTTTATATTATCTATCACTCTTTAATATTATTATATCAAAATCTCAACTGACTTTTATCGACAAAAAAAATTCTCTTGAGATTATGATTTAACGGTGTTAGAGAGTGATAGATAAGATATGCATAAAAAAAAATAGATAAAATAACCTATTTCTAAAATAAATTCCTACGAAATTTCCTTTCCCCGAATCTCAGGTCGTACTTGTATGCTTCCAGTATAAAATTGAGTGGCAGATTCAAATGATATGTTTCGGGCTTTCGGTTGTAATTTCTTTTAAGCAGATATGACTAGTACAGTATATAGTCTAAGTACTGTCACTTAAGTAGTTTTTTAATTTGAATTCAATCATCTCTTGCGCCTTGAATATGACAAATTTAAAATTTATCTTATTGGCAAAATAAGAAAAAGGAACCATGCATATTCATTGAGCCAAAGAATCGAGAAAATTCGAGGAAAGCGCATAGGAAGTTGCTTTCACATATGTTATGTGTGACAAAACAATTTTGTAAGACTTTGATTTGGTAATAGCTATTATTACTATATAACCTTCGAGAGGTGTATGGGTGTTTGATATCGATGAGGCTTATCATCATTACTCTAAAGAGAGAATGACTTCTTGAGGTCTTCGCAGAAGACTTCCAAGTCAAAGCTAATATGATATCCACTAAGAAAAGAATCCCTTATTTTCATTATTTTTAGTTTTTTGGGTTTTTGAGAGAAAGAAGACGAATGGGGTTTCAAACCAATGCTAGAATACATGAAAATAATGTTGCAAACGCGGAGATGCTTTGAATTGACAATCAAATCTTTTGAACAAAACCAGAAATTTGTATTCCTTATGATGTGGTCACTCTAATTTAAAGACTTGAGTAATAGAAACAATTTTGACTTCACCAACAAATTAGCATGATATCATTATTTCCTCATAAAATAAGTAGTAATTAATAAAAAAAGCTATGTGCCTTTCCTAAAGTTCAATTTCATAACAAAGGTGATTTATTTTGAATATTTTAATGGGTTTTATTATTCTTTTGTTAAAGGTGACACCATTTTTTCCCTGCATATTGAAAAATGATATGGGATCCGTTTAACTTTTTTTTTTTTTGGTGGGTCTCATTGCTGGTTTGTGAGTGCAGCTCGAGAGAGAATTTTTCTGTAAAAGGAGACTAGTAAACCCCATTTTTAATATGATAAAATAACATCCATTAACTTATAGCTCAGTTGATAGCATAAGAGTTAAGTAAGTGGAAATAAAAGAGCCTTGGTTCGATCCTTAAGTGATTTTCTTTAAACAGTTAAGATAATTTAATAAAACATAATAAACTTTATTTTTACTCCTCCACGTACTTATGCTCATAAAACTCGCTTTTTTAAATAAAATTTTTTTTTATTGAAGTTTGATTTTGGTCTCATTCATTTTAATTAGAATAATGTCAGCTCAATATTAATTTTAAATTTGATAAATGATGTCTTTATTATCAATCTAATAATAATTTGACGCTGTTAACATGGACAATTGTAATGTCTTTTTTATGGAGAAAAAAAGGGGTAAACACCATTGACTCTGCTAATTTGAAATAAGCTTTTGTCATGAAATAAATAGAAAAGTGCACATGTACCTTTGCAAGGGGAAAAAGTACTTCGTTAATTTCTGAGAATTGGTTATAATTTAAAATTTGAAAGTTTACATGACAAAAAAGAATTTAAAAGTGAAATCTATATCGTTGGCTTATAATTGTGTTTGCAGATAATCAAATGGTGCCGAATGTATGAAAAGAAAACTAAACAAAAAATGGGGATTAAACAAAAAAACTATTTATTTTCAATTGTAAATATTAAAATAATATAATATTCAACCAACATAATTGAAAACTCAAACACACTTTTGTATTTTGTATAGTGTCAATTATTCCTAAAATATAATTAATTAAAAAATATAAATTTATGAAAACACTACTGAAATAAAAACAATAAAGGTCTAAAGCCTAAAAATGACATATACGCACATGACGCATTATTCTAACCCAACTTTAGTTGCATCAAAAAAAATATTTGATCACTCCCAGAGTAGCTCAGTTGGCAACTGAGTTCTTAAAGATTTGCTATGAGTCAGGAGTTAAATTGTGTAACAAACTTACAAGATAAACTAATTTTAGAAGATTACAAAAAAAAAAAAAAAAAACTAATTTTAGAAGAAAAAAGTTTCATTGTCTTATTTATTAAGGGATTTACATTTCTGCAGTCGTTGTACGTGCATCAATCAAATACTTGTCATATATATACTTGAAAGCATTAAATGTGGAGAATTATAACCATACAAAAGATTAAAATATTAAATATGGAAAATCATAACTATATACCTATCATTGCTGTACGTAAAGCGACTGCAGAAATAATTTTACCTTTTATTAATATGAGAAAGAGATACAGGCAAAAAATCCGTACTAACATTAATTTTGAAATGTATCTCCATCCTAAAACACATTGCAAAAGAATGGCCAATCTAGAGCAGTCAAACACATAGGTTTGACTGACGAGATAAGTCCTGTCAGTGTGAAAGACGAGATCAGAAGCCACGTAGGAAGCCCAACCAATCGCGTCAGTCCATGTCACGTGTTTTCCACGTATCCCGCCACCTGCTGTGACATGTACCAGTCCCGCCATGTCAGTTGGCGAGACTAAGCCACGTGGCCAAAGTCTTGTAACACTGGTTGGCGGCATTCCTTTACAACCGTTCATTTCTTATCTCTTCCCGAACCGGTGCCTCTCTCCCTCCTCCCTCTTGTTCCCTCCCTCTTCTTCTTCTCCGTTTGTCTCCCTCGTTTCTTTCCATTTTCGTAAGTCAGAGAGTGAAGCAAGCAAATTTTTGAGTCCAAAGATCGCTCTCCAGTCCGTTGGCACCTCCGTCGGAGCAAATGTGTGCGTTCCCATCTTTCCGTTTAGTCACGAAACCACAGGTATTTTGGCATTGTATTTTTTTTTACCTATTGGCTCGATTTTTATATGTGTGTGTTATGTTGTTGTTTGTATGGTGTTATTGTTTGTATGGTGTTGTGTTTGAACTATTTATAGGCATGATCTGGTTATTTTTTTTTCGGGGACCACATGTTTGTTTTTTGCATGTTGTGGTGTATTGATGCGGACAGATACATGTGTTCTCAAATTGTTTTGTTATATATCTGTTAAAAAAATTGCCTCACTTTTTGATTTTAAAATCTCTTGGGACATAGTTTTGTAATGGAGTCCGCTGTCAAACAAAAATTACAACATATATGAACAATTGAATTTGAAGAAGAGAAAACGGTGGTGGCATGAAAGGAACTGAAATTACAACATATATGAACAATTGAATTTGAAGAAGAGCAAACGGTGGTGGCATGAAATGAAACAGTTCTTTTTTTTTTTTTTTTGGAAATAATGAAACGGTTCTTTTAATAATTATTAGTAAATGCAATTTTAATTAGTAGATTTTTTTTTTAATTAGTAAATAGTGGCCCATTTGTTTGCGTAATTAATAAATAAGATAAATATTAATATTAATCAAATATATTAATTATAACAAACCTGCACATACTTAGTCATCATTAGTTTAATAATTAAATAATAATCATGTCATTAAAGCCCTTTTCAAATATTCTGCATTAATTAAGAAAAATAATTTTGGAATCCTTAGTAGGCATCAAGCTAGGTTATTCGTAAGATTGGCCATTAATCAATGTAATTTTGGCTTTTGGTAAACAGTGATTAATGTCATAATTATGTTGTAATTTTAATTAGTGACCTGATTAATAGTAATCATATTGAAATTTACAATGCTTTATAAAAACCATGTTAGAAAACTAAGTTGTTAATATTGAAAATTATAAACATTAATTTGAAATAGTAATTTAGATTGAATATATTTATAATAATTACAATTATTAATTATTGAAATCGTAATAATTGTTTTAATAATTATATAATTGCAGATCTCATGTTAATGAATAAAACCTAAGAAAAAACATATTAAGTTGATTTAATAACTATTAAAAAAGTAAATAAATAGCCATTACCATTTAGTGAATTAGTTAAATATTATTCATGCTATTAAATCCCTTATACAAAATAATTTATTAAGATTACAATGTTGCAAAAAATGCTTTAGGGTAATTTAATTAATGTAATTGGCATGATTTAATAGTAATTCATGTTTGTATTAGTATTAATAAAATTTGTCTTAGCAATGGCATAGTGACCTGTGTGTAAAAATAAGATAGTATCAATGAAAATTTGTAAAACGTAAATTTAATGACTGTATATTTGCCAAGGTTAATTAAATCGACATGAAACTTTATAGTAAAGTAATAAATACTCTTGTAATTATTTAGTATATGCTGTTGTTATTACAATTGCAGTCATATTTTATTAAATAGTAATTGCAATAGTACCTTAATTATGTAGTCCCTATAATAATTGATAAATTTTACAAATTGTTGTTAGTTAAATGGCTAGTGATGGACCTCGCATTGACCCCGGTCCGAAAGAGTGGGGTGTACTAGATGAAGATGTGCAGCAATGTCATAGATCGCAGGTGGTGTGGAACGAAGGACATTTAAAGTCTCTGAGAGTGAGACGAGCTTCAGAGGGTAGGGGAAACAGAGATGTACACAACCCAGATGACATCCCCCAGGACCTGCAGCAGCATTTGGTGCGTGCAGGTTTTTGGCATGCGGCTCGCATGAGAAGATTACCGGTATGTTTCATTTATGAATTTTATTTTATTTATTACATGTTACCAATAATAACGACCTTTATGCATATTTTTACGATTACGTTTCTCACATGCAGATTGACCATAGGCTGATTACTGCACTGGTGGAGAGGTGGAGGCCGGAGTCTCACACTTTCCACATGCCTGTGGGAGAGATGACACTCACTTTACAGGATGTTGAGGCCATTTTGGGTTTACGCACTGAGGGTCGGGTAGTTTCCGGCTTTCCCCATGCCAACTGGGAGGACGTAATTCTGCAGTATATGGGAAGATCTCCACTTGAAGACGATTTGGATGGTGGAAACCTTAAGATGAGTTGGTTGACTCATCATTGGGGTCATTGGGCCACGCATTCAGGTACTCACGAGGGACAGATTAGGTACACTCGTGCCTATCTGATGCGTCTGTTTGGAGGTTTCTTGCTGTGTGACAAGTCAAGTTCAGTTGTCGGGTGTAGATACATTCAACTATTAGATGGGGACTTTGAGGAAACCAATACATATAGCTGGGGATCTGCGGTACTTGCAGTACTGTTCCGTGAGCTATGTCAGGCAACATCTTCAGGGCCAGTGATATTGGGGGATGTACGTTGTTGTTACAGATATGGGAATACGTGTGGATTTAGGACGGCCCTGTCCACGCATCATTGAGACATCAGGCACAAGCTTTGGACCGGGATGTGGGGGAATTCCATCTTCACTACCAATCGGCAAAAATGGAGAAGAGTAGACATGCATAATGGAGGTTACTGAGAATACCGGATCCACGTATTGCTCAACATCAAGGGCTACCTTCTTACATGATGCAATAACATGGCTACACGAGATTTTGAATGCTTGAAACTTACCACATTGGCATTTCCGATCAGTGAGGTTAACCGAAAAAGTAGACCCTTGGTCATCGACTTCAAATGAGGTGCGCGCCACATTATACTCCCGAACACGCATTGATGTTGCCCTCTCATTGTTCTTTGTCATCGCTTCTGAAATAACATTTGAGAAATGCTTTCCAATCTCGACATCTTTCTGTGCTTTAAACCCTCTTTTAAAAAAGTAACGAGCAAGTCGACTATATGTGCATTTTACCAAAGAAGTTATTGGCATGTTCCTCGCTCCCTTAAAAACCCTGTTGACTGATTCAGACAAGTTAGTTGTCATGTGACCATATCTTCGTCCACCCTCGTCGTAACTCCGAGTCCATTTCTCTTTTTGAACAGCCTCAATCCACGCAGCGACTTCTGGACTAATGCTGCAGAACTCGGCATACGCGGCATCAAAGTAGTCTTTATTTGCAACATATCCTGCGAAAAAAAACACATATTTATATAATAAAGGACCCAATCGACAAAGGATTTACACAGTTTCATGTAACTAGTTTGCATATATAACCTAGCTTCTTTAGAAAACCCTTCATGTATTGATCCTTGAATCGTGTATTAAAATTGCTCCCCACATGACGAAGGCAAAACACATGGTATGCATTAGGAGGTTGCCATCCAATGTCTGGATTGGCCACTGCTGATAAAATGCTTTTATGTCGATCAGAAATAAGGCTTATTCCAGTCTTACTGGTTACATGCATTCGGATGGATGCCAAAAAATATTCCTATGCATCTTTAGTTTCACTTTCAACGACCGCAAATGCGATTGGCAATACCTCATTGTTGCCATCTTGCGCTGTGGCGATCAATAATGTCCCTTTGTATTTACCGTACAAATGCGTACCATCGACCTGTATGACTGGTTTACACCATTTAAACGCCTCCCGACATTGACCGAAAGTCCAGAAAACACGTTGAAAAACCCTAGACCCAGTAATAACTTGTCCATTCATGACACACGATCCATGTTGAATATGGTAAACAGACCCCGGAGAAAAATTCAACATGTGCGCGAACCATCTTGGCAAGAACGCGTATGACTCGTCCCAATCACCGTAAATCTTAGCAATTGCTTTCTGCTTTCCCTTCCACGCCTTCCTATAAGAAACATTATATCCAAAAAGGGCAGTAACTCGTTCTTGTATCAAGATAACGGCCACCGACGGCGAAGCCTTCACCATGTCTGCATACAGATATAGATATGATTTGTAATTAGTAATAATATCCACCTTCACATGATAAACACATAAATTGTCGCAGTACGAAAACTTCAACAATGTATATAGTACCTAGAATGGCCTCAGATATAAATTGTGAATCAAGTTGTTTGTTATCTTGCGAAAGGGTTGTGCTGACACAAGAATGTTTTCCACCCCATTTAGTGACTACCCAGCTGTTGCTATTCTTCGGTTTAATTGCCCTTACTCGCCAATTGCAACCTTCTTCATGCTTACGACATTTCATAGACAACTTCGTGGTAGTACTCTCAACCACTACAGCTTCTTGATGCTCATTCATGCAGTAATGTTTTATAGCGGCTTGCACATCGCTCTTCAACCGGAACTCTTGTTTCACATACATTTCGTCTCCTCTTGTCCACTGACCACGACCTAAGCCTTCAACATCCAGTATGTCTTCGTTCGGATAATCCAAATTAACAGCCTCATAGTGTGGGATGTCATCCCAAAATGGTGTCACATCTACAAAAAAATAAAAAAATACGATATGGCAAATATTAAAGCGATTAAAAAAAATTTAATCATTCAACACGTTCAATGGCTAACCTGATGTTGGTGGAATAACCGCATTATTGGACGCAGGGATAACTGTCTCCTGTGTTATGGGATTATCATGATGTTCATCATCTCCTCCATCACTATCATTCTGATCATGGTCATTTGCCAATAGAGTGTCTTCATCTTCCTCCTCCTCTTCATTGTCAGGTTCAACATCTACCATATAGTCGCTTTCATCTCCATGCGCAATAGTTGATTGTGTGGGTTGGGGTACCGATGATGACAGCATTTGTGTCTGACTGTTAAGGTCTAACCCACGTGTCGGTGTTGACATTTCGTCTGATGTCTCAATATCCACGTATAACTCAACAAATTGAGAAGTAGTAGAGTTTTGGACAAATGTTCCAAGAAAAATATCAATGTCCTCATCATCAGTTAGATCAAAACCTACATATTTGCGATTTCCACTTGGGACTCTACCCGTTATTGAAGAAATTACCTGATTTTGTTGCAACTTCAACTTCTGACGAATCTTCTGAAGTAGATCTTCAATGGACAAGCCTCGCACAATATACATTGCTCTTTTTTCCCCTTCGAATCTCAACCCGCCTACACCGTTAATTTTAGAACCATTATAATATACAAAAGACCGATATTGTTCCATTGTAATAATACAGGGGTATATGCAAATAACACAAAAAGATCAAATGCAAGTGGAGATTAAAAAAAGTAAATAAACAACATTTGAATCCGCATTACAGCAAGTGACACAAAATCTTTTGGAAATTACACACACAGCAAGTGACAAAAAACCTTTTGGAAATTAATTACACACAACAAGTGATACAAACAAATTACTACAAGTAAAGAAACCGTCCGTCAAAATCATATACAAAAATAGCAAACATAAACCAAATTCCAAAGTTTCAATACTAGCAAACACCGGAAGACCCTATATATAACCAGACAAGTATCAACCGTAAGTGTCAGTGGCGAGATTGACTACCGGACGCTACCCCACAATTATTTTGTTGAGCACGGGACGTTACCCCACGAGTGTGGCGAGGGGTGGCTGGAACGCGTCACAAGAACTGCGGATGTGTCACACACGTAGCTTAGTCTCGCCAACTGACATGGCGGGACTGGTACATGTCACAGCAGGTGGCGGGATACGTGGAAAACACGTGACATGGACTGACGCGATTGGTTGCGCTTCCTACGTGGCTTCTGATCTCGTCTTTCTCACTGGCGGGACTTATCTCGTCAGTCAAACCTACGTGTTTGACTGCTCTACTATGGCCATTCTTTTGAAAAGTGTTTTACGATGGAGATACATTTCAAAAATAACTTTAGTACGGATTTTTTTTCAAGAGATACAAGATAAAGTTGGTAATCATCAGAGCGCATTTATTGTGGACCGGGACCTTATGGTCATTTTCCAAAAATAGAAAGAAAAAATGACTGAGAAGAAATTTAAATAGAAGAAAGAGATATAAATAGAAGAAAAATTTCCTTTTGTAATAAAGGACCATCAAATTTTATTATACTCCTGGAGCACAATAAAAAAATCTGTAATCATCGTAATTCATGTGGGTCCAGATATTTAGAAAAAACTTAGCACAAAATAAAAAAGTTAAAATAAAATAAAGAGGAATGTGTTTATCCTTTAATAGGAAACATAATAAAATTCCTGCCCGAGAATAGTTTGATGGGCCCATTATAAAAATAAAATAAAAAATCTTACGCAACTATTCATGGATCTACATAAATATTTTTGTGTTTTTTTAAAGGAAAAACGCATTTCCCAAAAATAATTTGTCTCGTTTATTATACATATTGATATAACATAATCCGACATAAGTAATTTAGAAAAAATTAGCACGAATTAATATTATATTTATGGATTGACACATAACGAATTTTTTCATGTTATTTTTTATTAACACAAATATAATATGAATTTAAATGCCGGTCAACTTAAACACATAATTTTTTTTTTTTTTGGGGTAAACTTAAACACAAAATTCTGTGTTGTGTTCATGTTTCATGAACTGATCATATAGTAAATTATCACCCCTAGTAATTACATAGAATTTTCATTTGTTGATTATAATATTTGACATTTCAAAATTAATGTCAATGATAAGTCTAGAGAACCATTGTAATTGGCAGTTGCAGCCTGGTAATCAGCACTGAATCTATGTTTCCATTATAATTAGCAATTGCAGTCTGGTAACTGGTGATTACCACTGAATCTAATGTTTCCTATTTTGCAGGCAAAAATATGTGATGGTTTCCGGCTCATTTTGTATGGCAGAAGAAAGGAGAATCATTAATAGTCTTCCCTCAAAATTTGGAACGCAGACCTGGACTTCGTTTCAACCCATACTATGGGTTATATCATGCAAATTGGAATAGTACCAAACAAAAATTTGACATTATTTTCAAAACAGAAGCTCCCTGTTTTTATATTTTCAACCATTTTGTTAATCTTTTGTCAAGTTTGTGATTTGAAGGAAGTCAATTTAATATTCCTATTTGATTTGGATTCAATCAACAATAAAATTAAGGCAAATATATAGAAATGTGGAACTTTCAAGAGGTTGGGGCTGAGTATTTTAATCATCATTTGGCTGTGTTATCTGTCCATTTAAAAATTGTTCCCGTGGACCGTGATGCTATTTTAATTGGGGTGGAATAACAATGCTGTAGAAATATGTATATTTTCCAAAGCTCATGTTAAAAAGAATACAATTTTATCACTTAAAATAGTTCAATTGGTAAAAAATGAATAAAAATGCGTGAACTTAAATATATTTTGACACTTCAGGGCATTTCCTATTACAGCACTATAATAGTGATGAGTCCTCTTAAAACTAAAAGAGAAGGATATTGTACCAAAAAAAAAGAAGAAAAAAAGAGAAGGGTAATTTTTTTCAAGAAAAAGTAATTTTTGTACGGTGCAATTTTTACAGGGCCGCGCGATAATTATTAAACAAAAAGAATGGGCATGAATCAGAAGAGGAATTTCCGGGTAAAAGTCCAAAATTGAAAGAAAAAGGAGGCGAAGGCATAACATGTTCACGTCTCTTTCTCGTCCCTACATCAGTTAGTCTATGCATACTTTTGTCAAGACGCGTGGGTCCCTTACTCTCGTGGTCCTACCACACAAGTATCAATACTATACATTTACAAGTCCTTTTTCTTTCAAGATTTTTTACAAAGACTTTTGTGCCCCTCTCTACATCCATGACCAAGTCATAACAACACAAGTTCACTTATTAATAAAATAAAATAATATCACAAGTTAACTAATTGCGAAACCAACCATTGCTTATAAATACCTCTCATTGCCTTTTCATTCAACAAACAACCCTTTCCTAGTGTCTCCTCCATAAGTAGCAAATAACTTTGCGTTTCTCAGTAGAAAAAAAGAAAAAAAAAAGCCTCAAAAGTGGGTGAAGTGTAGCAGAACTAGTTCAGCTAGCTAAACAGTACGTAATCATAAGCAAACAAATACATATTGATGAATATAGTATCCATGGAAGACATCAACATGAATGGGGAAATTGCACTTCCAGGTTTTCGATTTCACCCAACTGAAGAAGAACTCCTCGATTTCTACCTTAAAAACATGGTTGTTGGCAAGAAACTACGTTACGACGTCATTGGTTTCCTCAACATCTATCATCATGATCCTTGGGACTTGCCTGGTAATCAATTAATTATTAGTTAAACAAAAAATGACTCTGTTTCTATCTACTCTTCTCTCTCAGTCTATCTTTTGTGTTACTTGGTATGTCATATGTTATGTTATGTTATGTTCATAGACATTTTTTCATCAATATTATATACTTATGTGTATTCCATGATATAGGTCTGGCAAAAGTAGGGGAAAGAGAATGGTACTTCTTCGTGCCAAGGGACAAAAAACATGGCAGTGGAGGAAGGCCTAACCGCACCACTGAAAAAGGGTTCTGGAAAGCCACCGGTTCAGACCGGAAAATTGTGACCTTATCTGATCCCAAGCGCATCATTGGGTTAAGGAAGACCCTTGTTTTCTATGAGGGAAGAGCTCCTCGGGGATCCAAGACCGATTGGGTCATGAATGAGTACCGTTTACCTGACAATTGCCGATTACCAAAGGTATATACATATATATTTTTATTATTTGAACATCAAAAACCATAAGCATCAATCTTTTAGTTATTTTGAGCTGCTATGATATGACCAATTTAACCATAACTAAATATATATCAACTATGAATATGAGCCGAGTTTTAGATTCTGCCCATTAATTAATGGGTAATACTTCTCTCATTTAACACGAGAGAAGTTTTTTTTCCTACACTAACAAGAAATGTGGAGCTCACAAGTTAAAGAAAAATAAAAAAGAAAAGAAATTGCAAGCACGTCTTTTTACATCTCACTAACATGAGATAATTATCTCCTACAGTTGGAGAAAACTATTTCCATTAATTAATTTCTCATTCAAATTATTATGTGGTTAATTATTTTGTACATTTTAGTTTCTCTCTAGTTACAGGGGATATTTTAGGAGCATTAATAGGACCAGCTAGGAATTTTCCTCGGTAGAAGTGTATCATTAATTAAATTTCATATCTCTCATTTCCATGAAGATAGAGGGAGAGTGATGGTTACTTTCTTTAAGGCTAGGCTATGAATATTATGTTGTGGGGTACCTTTTGGTCTTTTATGAATCTCTTGTTTCATTCACGAGTTCAAGACTTGATAATTTAATATGTCGTTAAATTTCGGGTATACATTAAATTACAAATTAATGGTAGTACTACACTAGTAGTTAATAAATTAATGGTAGTAGTACTAGTAGATAATAAATCAAACATTAATAATTCCGGTACATGTATGTGTATACAGGACATTGTGTTGTGCAAGATATACCGAAAGGCAACTTCGTTGAAAGTGCTGGAACAAAGGGCAGCAATGGAGGAAGAGATGAAGCAATTGGTTTGTTCACCTGCATCCCCTCCTTCCTCAACGGACACCATGTCCTTTAGCAGCCCACATGAAGAACAAAACGTGCACCTGCCCTTGTTGCAACAACATGTCATTCTTAAGAAAGAATCTGAAGCTGAAACTGAAGAGAGGGTATATATGTCCATGTCAGTGCCAAAGCAAGAAAAAACAAGGAACCAATTTTCTATGAAGGAGAACAAAACAACATGTGGTACATCCTTGCAATTGCCCTTGGGGAAGGACAAGCTGCCAGAGCTACAGCTGCCAATGGTCACGGACTGGACCCAAGATACATTTTGGGCTCAGTTGAACAGTCCATGGCTTCAAAACTTGACTCCTTCCAACATCTTAAACTTTTACTGACTCAACCATATCAATTGCACGTGAATTATTACCTATTTATTTGGGAATGTATGTGCAGTTACTCAATTAATAATGTAATTTAATATTACCTCAATTAAATTAAGCAAGTATTCGTACATACAAGTTCTGCTCAAGTTCAACTTATTAGCCAGAACTTTTTGTTAACCCTACTCCGCCCCTTGATGATGTATCAGTATCAACATCAATTAATATTCATAGAGTAGGTTTCATCAGTTCATTTAATTGGCCAGCTTCATTATCCACTGTTTGGGGATTTTGTTTAAAAAAGTTTATTGATCTAGTTCCAGCTAAAAGATATTTAGTAATGCAATTTATGGATCACAGTTCCTTTTATGTTTTTTTTTTTTTTTAGTAAATACCCTTTTAATTCTCAATAAAAAACACGGAACCAACTTAATCCCTTAGAAGAAAAAAAGTATCTATATTAGTCCTCTTTGAAGGGGGCAAATCAGAGTAGTGGTAAAGTTATTCTCTCATGACTGAAAGGTCATGGATTCAAATCCAGGAAACAACCTTCTTTGCAATTAAGTAAGGGTAAGACTGGATAGGCTGCGTACAAGGATTACCTTCATCTCACACTCGCTAGTGTTGGGAAAACTCGGTTCCCTCAAGCTCGGCTAAGCAGCCTTTGTGCGGAAGTCAATCAACAAGATCCTGATCTCGGATCTCGGCAATACCTCGGCCTGAACTTCACCAGGTCAGGCAGCGCAGCGGAACAATCAAAAATGAAAAAATCAAAATAGGAGAGAGAGAGAAGAAGAACACAACCAGTTTTAACGTGGGAAAACCTTCTTGAATGAAGAAGTAAAAATCCACGGGACCTAGTCCAGATCAGAAATCCACTATGAAAATAATGGTTACAAATAATCAAATACACCAATGTGGTGGTTAACTCAACCTCTCCAACAATGGTGATAATCAAACTACCCTAGAGATGTTTCACTCAAACTCTCTCTAGAGATCTCTCAAATGCAGAGCATAAAGCTTTACTCAAACAATCAAACAATTTTTTCTCTCAAATTTGTTCTCTCAAATCTGACCTCTCAAATCTAACCTAGCCTCCACCCACAACAATGAGTATACATAGAGGAGGTGGAAATTAGGGTTAGGGTTAGGAAACCCCTCAAATGGGCTTGGGCTTAGCATTGAAGGAGGAAACCCAACAAATCTCCCCCTCCGACTTCAATGCGTCGGCCTCAGCATCAATCCGGCTCCTTCACAGCAGTCTTCAAATTTTCTTGCTGGAACCGGCTTCGTTATCATGTCGGACCAATTTTGGTCAGTGTGCACCTTGACGAGTTCGAGCTCTCCACCTTCCACCACATCCCGGATCCAGTGATACCTCACATCAATATGCTTAGTGCGGGAGTGATAGGTTGAATTCTTCGCAAGATGGATTGCGCTTTGATTGTCACAACCCAGCTCGTACTTGTCTTGATCATGGCCGAGTTCCATGAGGAACTTCTTCATCCACAGCATCTCTTTGCTTGCCTCAGTAGCGGCAATGTACTCAGCCTCAGTTGTAGATAGTGCAACACATTTCTGAAGTCTTGATTGCCAAGAGACAGCTCCTCTGGCAAATCTCATCAAATATCCTGTAGTCGACTTCCTCGAGTCGGCGTCTCCCCCTAAATCAGAATCCGAGTAGCCTTGCAACTCGGCTTTGCCTTCTCCAAATCGGAGACATAAGTCGGTCGTACCTCGGAGGTACTTGAAGATCCACTCCACTGCTTCCCAGTGCTCTTTGCCGGGGTTTGACAAATACCGGCTTACCATTCCTACAGCATACGCCAAGTCGGGTCTAGTGCAAACCATTGCATACATCAAGCTTCCGACGGCGGATTGGTAAGGGACCTTCATCATCTCATCTTTGTCTTCATCAGATCTCGGACATTGCTTTTGGTTCAGCTTTATGTGTCCGGCTAGGGGGGTGCTTACTGTTTTGGCTTTGTCCATGCTGAATCTCTTCAATATCTTCTCAATGTACTTCTCTTGACTTAGCCACAGTAGCTTCTTCTGTCTATCTCGGATGATCTTGATTCCGAGAATCTGCTTTGCAGGGCCGAGGTCCTTCATTGCGAAGGACGAGCTCAACGCCTTTTTCAGGGCGACTATCCTCGATTTGTCTTTCCCTACAATAAGCATGTCGTCAACATATAACAACAAAATCAGAAAATCTCCGGCCTCATACCTCTTCATAAATACGCAGTGTTCGGCTTCAGTCTTCTCAAACTTATGATCAGTCATGAATGATTCAAATTTCTTGTACCACTGTCGAGGTGCTTGCTTCAAGCCATAGAGGCTCTTCTTCAACCGACATACCAAGTCTTCTTGGTCTGGAGCTTGGAATCCTTCAGGTTGCTCCATATATATTTCTTCTTCTAAGTCACCGTGAAGAAATGCCGTCTTCACGTCCATTTGTTCTACCTCGAGGTCCATTGAAGCCGCCATGGCTAACACGGTTCGGACCGAGGTCATTTTCACCACAGGAGAAAAAATCTCCTCAAAATCAACTCCTTTCTTCTGATTGCAGCCTTTCACTACAATTCGGGCTTTATATCTCGGCTTTTGCCCGTTCTCTTCATTCTTAATCTTGTAAACCCATTTATTTTTCAAAACTCTTCTTCCTTTTGGCAACTCGGTCAGCTCATAAGTCTGATTCTCGTGCAGAGACTTCATCTCGTTCTGCATTGCCTTTTTCCATTCTTCTTTCTCTGAGCTCGTCACAGCCTCATCATAACTCTGAGGTTCACCGTCTTCAGCAACAACGGTGTATTCATCAGATGGGTACCTTGTAGAGGGTCTTCTTTCTCGAGTTGGATATCTCGGCTGTTCTTCAGATTGAGAACCCGGTTCATCATTTTCGTCCCGGATCTCATCTTCAACTCGGACCTCAGTGTCTTGGTCATCTTCAGCTTGTTGCTGGTCATTAATTTCTTGATTTCCCCCCCCTGCTTCAGCTCGGACAGGAGGGATGGGTTCTTCATGTCTGACAGTAACCCAGACTTTGGGCTTCGAGATGTCATGAATGTTCTCATGCTCATGAAAGATCACATCTCGGCTTCTCACGATCTTCTTATTGATTGGATCCCAAAGTCGGAACCCGAACTCACATCTCGGCGAACCAAGATAAATGCATTATTTAGTCTTTGCATCAAGTTTGGCCCTTTCATCTTTAGGGATATGCACGAAAGCTCGGCATCCAAACACTTTCAGTTGATTGTAGGCCGCTTTCCGACCTTTCCAGACTTCTTCTGGAATTTCTCCTTCAAGTGGCCGTGATGGTGAGAGGTTGATCAAGTCAACAGCAGTTTTGACGGCTTCTCCCCAGAATGATTTCGGCAATCCAGCATTGGATAACATGCTTCGGACCTTTTCTTCAATAGTTATGTTCATCCGCTCAGCCAGTCCATTCAGCTGAGGTGTCTTGGGGGGCGTCTTCTCTAGTCGAATCCCGGCCGCTCTGCAGTATGCATCAAATGGGCCGCAATACTCACCACCATTGTCAGATCGGACCACCTTCAATTTCTTGCCAGTCTCCCTTTCAACCATAACATGAAATTCTTTAAAGGATTGGAGTACTTGGTCTTTAGACTTCAACAAATATACCCACACTTTGCGGGAATGGTCATCAATAAACAAAACAAAGTACTGAGCTCCTCCAAGAGATTTCTCTGACATGGAACAGACATCAGTATGGACGAGGTCAAGAATATACCTGCGTCGTCTAGGTTGATCCGGTCTCACAAAAGAAACCCGGTGCAGCTTTCCAGCTAGGCAATGCGTGCAACTCTCCAACGCTTGGCCTTTCAACCCGGTCAGTAATCCTTTCTTGTTCAGGATCTGTAGCCCTTTCTCGCTCATGTGGCCGAGGCGCTTGTGCCATAGCTCCAAGCTAGGTTCATCTCGAACAGAATTGGCTTCTCAGCCATTGATCTTTCCTTGCATTACGTACAAGGAGCCTTCCTTCTTACCTCGGGCCACGACCAAGTTTCCCTTGGCCAGCTTCCATCTCACACTACCGAAGTAGTTCACTAACCCGGCATCATCAAGTTTGCCTACCGAGATTAGGTTCAAACGCATGTCAGGAACATGCCTCACATCCTTCAACACAAGTCGGCATCCGACATCCGTGGTCAGAGTTACATCACCGACACCAACAATCTTGCTGGTCACTTGATTTCCCATCTTCACGACTCCAAAATCACCACCTCGATAAGAGGAGAAAAAACCTTTGTGTGGAGTAACGTGGAAGGAGGCACCAGAGTCAACAATCCAGGTGCAGTCATCATATGCAACATTCAAATAGTTATCCTCACCTAGGAGGAATATATCGGCATCAGGATTTGCAGCCACCGCAGTGGTGCTCTTGTCTTCCCTCTTCTTGGGAATAATCTGATCCGGCTTCACAGAGCCGTTCTTCTCATCATTTTGCAGGGTCCAGCAGTCTGGCTTCTTATGACCTGCCTTTCCACAGTAAAAGCACTTCAACTCATATTTCGGCTTTGACCGACCTCTTGACTTGTCTCGTCTGTCACGACCTCTACCGCGGCTCTTACTTCTACCACGGGAGTCAGATTTTCCTTTGTTCTCAGCAACATTGGCCTCAGACGTACTCAAAGTACCTCGTTCTTTTCTCCTGGATTCTTCGCCCAGGAGGCTGTCTGTCACGACATCCATCTTCAATTTTCCATCCGGAGTCGAGTTATTCAGGGTCACCACCAGGGTATCCCAGCTTTCTGGCAGCGAGCTCAACAGCAGCAATGCCTGCAATTCTTCATCAATTTTCATATCAGCCTTTGACAGCCGATTCACAATACCTTTGTATGTGTTCAGGTGTTCAATCATGCTCATACCGTCCTTGTATTCAAGCTTAACAAGTCGGCGAACCAGGTGTGCTTTGTTCCTGGGAGTCTTCTTCTGAATCATGGACTCTAATTTCGTCCATAACTCATACGCGTTCGTGAATTCGGACACGTGCTCAAAGAGGCTTTTATCAATATATTTCCTGATCGTGGCTACCGCCTTCCGACTCAGGATCTCCCACTCCTTATCTGTCTTGCCTGCCGGTCTCTCATCAAGGATAATGGGCTCATGCAAATCTTTGCAGTAGAGATGATCTTCCATCATCGGTCTCCAATATGTGAAATTATCTGCGGTCAACTTGAACATATCTCCATCATGAGTTATGCCACTGGTCTCCATCTCGTCTCCCTCAGAACCCGTCGAACTCGGGCTCTGATACCACTGTTGGGAAAAC